TAGTAGTGTTCCAAGAAGGCCAATAGTGTTCCAAGGTGAGCAGCAGCGTTCCAAGATGAGCAGTAGTGTTCCAAGGTGGGCAGCAGTGTTCCAAGGTCAGCAGGAGTGTTAAAAGGTGAGCAGCAGTGTTCCAAGGTGAGCAGCAGTGTTCCAAGGTGAGCAGTAGTGTTCCAAGGTCAGCAGCAGTGTTCCAAGGTCAGCAGCAGTGTTCCAAGGTGAGCAGCAGTGTTCCAAAGTCAGCAGCATTGTTCCAAGGTCAGCAGCAGTGTTCCAAGGTTATCAGTTGTGTTCCAAGGTCAGCAGCAGTGTTCCAAGGTCAGCAGCAGTGTTTCAAGATTATCAGTTGTGTTCCAAGGTGAGCAGTAGTGTCCCAAGGTGAGCAGCAGTGTTCCAAGGTGAGCTGCAGTGTTCCAGGGTGAGCAGGAGGGTTCCAAGTTGAGCTGCAGTGTTCCAAGGTCAGCAGCAGTGTTCCAAGGTGAGCAGGAGTGTTCCAAGGTGAGTAGCAGTGTTCCAAGGTGATCAGGAGGGTTCCAAGGTGATTAGCAGTGTTCCAAGGTGAGCTGCAGTGTTCCAAGGTGAGGAGGAGGGTTCCAAGGTGAGCTGCAGTGTTCCAAGGTCAGCAGCAGTGTTCCAAGGTGAGCAGGAGTGTTCAAAGGTGAGCAGCAGTGTTCCAAGGTGAACAGTAGTGTTCCAAGGTGAGCAGTAATGTTCCAAGGTCAGCAGCGGTGTTCCAAGGTGAGCAGCAGTGTTCCAAGGTGAGCAGTAGTGTTCCAAGGTGAGCAGGAGTGTTCCAAGGTGAGCAGGAGTGTTCCAAGGTGAGCAGGAGGGTTCCAAGGTGAGCAGCAGTGTTCCAAGGTGAGAAGGAGGGTTCCAAGGTCAGCAGCAGTTTTCCAAGGTGAGCAGCAGTGTTCCAAGCTCAGCAGTAGTGTTCCAAGGTCAGCAGTAGTGTTCCAAGGTGAGCAGCAGTGTTCCTCCCTCTCCACTTCCTCCCCCTCCACTCCCTCCCCCTCCACTTCCTCCCCCTCCACTCCCTCCCCCTCCACTTCCTTACCCTCCACTTCCTCCCCCTCCACTTCCTCCCCCTCCACTTCCTCCCCCTCCACTTCCTCCCTCTCCATTTCCTCCCTCTCCACTTCCTCCCCCTCCACTTCCTCCCCCTCCACTTCCTCCCCTTCCACTCCCTACCCCTCCACTTCCTCCCCCTCCACTCCCTACCCCTCCACTTCCTCCCCCTCCACTTCCTCCCCCTCCACTCCCTACCCCTCCACTTCCTCCCTCTCCACTTCCTCCCCCTCCACTTCCTCCCCCTCCACTTCCTCCCCCTCCACTTCCTCCCTCTCCACTTCCTCCCCCTCCACTTCCTCCCCCTCCACTTCCTCCCTCTCCACTTCCTCCCCCTCCACTCCCTACCCCTCCACTTCCTCCCCCTCCACTTCCTCCCCCTCCACTCCCTCCCCCTCCACTTCCTCCCCCTCCACTTCCTCCCCCTCCACTTCCTCCCTCTCCACTTCCTCCCCCTCCACTTCCTCCCCCTCCACTCCCTCCTCCTCCACTCCCTCCTCCTCCACTCCCTCCCCCTCCACTCCCTCCCCAACACTTCCACTCCTCTTCACTTACCTCCTCTTCCCTATCCTAAAATGTAATATTAAGGAGAATTGAAACTTCTGTATAGGTCTTAAGAAAATTATATTTTCTCTTGACGGAAAAACTCTCTGGGGATCCCAACCAATATTTCACACTCGGCAAGAACCGCGTCCGTAAGAACCAGGTGGAGGCTGTCAATATTCTGATATTTCAGAAACCATTTAATTTATTCCTTCTGCAACTTGCCTGTGAACGTCCCAGTTCCCTGGCTTTGGGTGAGGATTGCCGCATGCTTTTAGCCTCGGACTTTGGACAAAGAAACACACTGACATTCCCTGTTATAGTATTCCTATGCCAGGGTGTCATTTCGACTTCCACTCTTTCCATTTTTGGCACTATCTGTCTGTCTGTCTGTCTGTCTGTCTGTCTGTCTGTCTGTCTGTCTGTCTGTCTGTCTGTCTGTCTGTCTGTCTGTCTGTCTGTCTGTCTGTCTGCTACACAGCTAAGTATTTTCAAAACAAACATTTAAAACAAAAATATTATGCATATAGTAATATACACAATTATTCACTGATCTCGGGAAAATGAATAGATATTTCCTGCGATCCATAATTTGTCCGTAGTCGCATGAAACACAGAAACCTCCCATAGCTTTAAAGGTTCCTCACTCTTTCTCAGAGTAAATCGGGTAACAATTTTGTTTATTACTTCCTACGGTAAAGTTTTCTTTCGCTGGCGACGACCCACACATCAATGGTAGGTAGTAATATTTTATATAAGAACAAGAGAGACAGACAGACAGACAGACAGACAGACAGACAGACAGACAGACAGACAGACAGACAGACAGACAGACAGACAGACAGACACAGACAGAGTCTGAAGCTGATACAGATACAAAGATGGACAGGCAGTTGATAGATAGATGATTGATAGATGAATAGACAGACGGGCATATAGGGGGATAGATTGATGAATAGATGGAAGGGTAAATTTATAGATTGATAGATTCATGGACAGATATATAGATAGATGGATAGATAGAAAATTTGATGGATAAACAGATTAATTGATAGATGGATAGATAGGGAGAGGGATAAACGGACATAGATGGATGGATATTTGATGGATAAATGGATGGATAAGTGAATAGATAGACTGATAGATGGACATATATATGGTTAGATAGATGGAGAAAGAGACAGACATATAGAGGAATGGACAAAATATTATTGGATAGACAGGATGGATTGATAACCGGATAGCTAGATGAGTATATGAAAGGATAGATTGATAGATAGCTTGATGAATAGACGGATATATAGATGAATACTTAAGAGAATAAATAGATAAACAGATAAAGGGATTGATAGATGGATGGCTGGATCGACAGATGAATGGATAGATAGATGGATAGATGGCTTGATAGATGAACAGATAGATGGATAGAAGGGGTAGATAGACGAATTCAAACTGGACAATTGATGAGTAGATGAATGTATAGATAGATAGATAGATAGATAGATAGATAGATAGATAGATAGATAGATAGATAGATAGATAGATAGATAGATAGATAGATAGATAGATAGATGAGTACATGAATGTATACGTGCGTCGATAGTTATAAGGATGGATAGATAGATGGATAAATAGGTGGATAGATAGATGGACAGATAGATGAATAGAAATGTGGATGGATGGATGTATAAAACATTGATGGATGCAAAATGGATAGATGGATGATATATATATATATATCAATATATATATATATATATATATATATATATATATATATATATATATATATATATATATATATATATATATATATCAATATATATATATATATATATGCTAACAAGCCTGAATTGTCCCCAGGACTATATGCAACTGAAAACTCACACCCCAGAAGTGATTCGAACCCATACTGCCAGGAGCAATACAACTGGTATGTACAGGGATGCCTTAATCCGCTTGACCATCACGACCGGACATAAGGAAGTGATAGCCGAAGCTATTTGAACCACTTCCCCGCCAGCACTCGGATGGTAATCTTGGGCATAGCATTTTATCATATCACCTCATTTTTTGGGTCAACACGTGAGGAACACAAAATGAGAACAAGCCTGAATGGTCCCCAGGACTATATGCAATTGAAAACTCACACCCCAGAAGTGTGATGTATACAGTGAGTATCAAAATGCGGATTAAGGCGTCCCTGTACATACCAGTTGCGTTGCTCCTGGCAGTATGGGTTCGAGTCACTTCTGGGGTGTGAGTTTTCAGTTTTATATATATATATATATATATATATATATATATATATATATATATATATATATATATATATATATATATATATATATATATATATATATATATATATATATATATGTCGTACCTAGTAGCCAGAACGCCACTCTCAGCCTACTATGCAAGGCCCGATTTGCCTAATAAGCCAAGTTTTCATGAATTAATGTTTTTTCGACTACCTAACCTACCTAACCTAACCTAACCTAACTTTTTTCGGTACCTAACCTAACCTAACCTATAAAGATAGGTTAGGTTAGGTTAGGTAGGGTTGGTTAGGTTCGGTCATATATCTCCGTTAATTTTAACTCCAATAGAAAAAAATTGACCTCATACATAATGAAATGGGTAGCTTTATCATTTCATATGAAAAAAATTAGAGAAAATATATTAATTCAGGAAAACTTGGCTTATTAGGCAAATCGGGTCTTGCATAGTAGGCCAAGAAGTGCATTCTGGCTACTAGGTACGACATATATATATATATATATATATATATATATATATATATATATATATATATATATATATATATATATATATATATATATATATATATATATATATATATATATATCTATATACTATATATATATAAGCTATACCTGTTTCTGGTTAATTCTTTCCCTAGGGATGGGTTGGTCAGGTGTCGGCCTATATATCCTCCCCCTTCTCCCTTCTCCTTTAGTCAGTCTGGTGTTGACAAAGGTGAACAAGTCGAAACGTTCACCTCATTTCATATTTCTCTGTGGATTTTCCGCATAAAATGATCAGTGTTTTGTGATCGTCAATTGCATATATATATATATATATATATATATATATATATATATATATATATATATATATATATATATATATATATATATATATATATATATATATATATATATATATATATATATATATATATATATATATAGAAATAGATGGATATTTTCCATTCCCGTCATGGAGATTGAAAAATATAAGTATGCATATACATATGTGAGTGTGGATTAATGTTTTATCTTTAAAGTTAAGGTATAGTGTTCCTCTCAGAGCGGCTCCAGGCTTGCTCTGCCAAAGGATTTTACTGATATTAGTTTGAACTTGGTCAGGATGACGATGACTGCGCGGCCCGCCCTTGCAGCCACCTGTGTCTGCCCTCACCCGCCGCTCCAGCGGGATATACTTGTGCATGTCCCGAGGGCATGATCCTTCTTCGTGATCGTCGCACCTGTGGTGATGACCGTGAACAAGACATGTCTATCAAGTTCCCCTTTGTCAACTAGATGGGACATGTTCCACCAATGTGGCTGGGCTGGTGGTGCGACTATCGTTCTTCCTATCACCACGTCTGGACTGTTGCTGATTCTAGTATCAACACCACCACCTGCCCATCTGGACTGTTGATGAATCCAGTAACCACACCACCACCACCACTGTCGGACTGTTGATAAATTAGTATCAACACCACCATTACGAGTGGGTAAATAGTGCGACTAATTTTCATACGACCACGTCTGATCTTATGGTGTGATAAATAAAGTATAATGCTGAAAAATGTAAGTTTTTAAATTCTAGAAACTCTAAAAGTTACCAGATATCTGGCGGTCAATGTTGAACTTACCATACAGGAAATCGACAAAGATGTAAGTGTCATGAGTTAGAGGGATCTCCAGCCAGGACTGTCACAGACTTGGGATCGCTGCATTATTTTCAGCGAAGGTTAGACAAGTAAGAGCTGCCTCACATGGCCCAATAGGCTTTCTGCTGTTTGTATTGTTATGTTAAAGAAGCCTTCATGCGCCTGCATGAAGGCTGCAGGCGCATGAAGGCTGCAGGCGCATGAAGGCTGCAGGTGCATGAAGGCTGCAGGCGCATGAAGGCTGCAGGTGCATGAAGGCTGCAGGTGCATGAAGGCTGCAGGCTCATGAAGGCTGCAGGCGCATGAAGGCTGCAGGCTCATGAAGGCTGCAGGCTCATGAAGGCTGCAGGCGCATGAAGGCTGCAGGCTCATGAAGGCTGCAGGTACATGAAGGCTGCAGGTACATGAAGGTTGCAGGCGCATGAAGGCTGCAGGCGCATGAAGGCTGCAGGTGCATGAAGGCTGCAGGCGCATGAAGGCTGCAGGCTCATGAAGGCTGCAGGTGCATGAAGGCTGCAGGCTCATGAAGGCTGCAGGCGCATGAAGGCTGCAGGCTCATGAAGGCTGCAGGTGCATGAAGGCTGCAGGCTCATGAAGGCTGCAGGCGCATGAAGGCTGCAGGCTCATGAAGGCTGCAGGCTCATGAAGGCTGCAGGCTCATGAAGGCTGCAGGCTCATGAAGGCTGCAGGTGCATGAAGGCTGCAGGCGCATGAAGGCTGCAGGCACATTAAGGCTGCAGGCTCATGAAGGCTGCATGCGCATGAAGGCTGCCGGCTCATGAAGGCAGCAGGTGCATGAAGGCTGCAGGTGCATGAAGGCTGCAGGCGCATGAAGGCTGCAGGCTCATGAAGGCTGCAGGTGCATGAAGGCTGCAGGCGCATGAAGGCTGCAGGCTCATGAAGGCTGCAGGTGCATGAAGGCTGCAGGCTCATGAAGGCTGCAGGTGCATGAAGGCTGCAGGCTCATGAAGGCTGCAGGCGCATGAAGGCTGCAGGCTCATGAAGGCTGCAGGCTCATGAAGGCTGCAGGCGCATGAAGGCTGCAGGCTCATGAAGGCTGCAGGTACATGAAGGTTGCAGGCGCATGAAGGCTGCAGGCGCATGAAGGCTGCAGGTGCATGAAGGCTGCAGGCGCATGAAGGCTGCAGGCTCATGAAGGCTGCAGGTGCATGAAGGCTGCAGGCTCATGAAGGCTGCAGGCGCATGAAGGCTGCAGGCTCATGAAGGCTGCAGGCTCATGAAGGCTGACGGCTCATGAAGGCTGCAGGCTCATGAAGGCTGCAGGTGCATGAAGGCTGCAGGCGCATGAAGGCTGCAGGCACATTAAGGCTGCAAACTCATGAAGGCTGCAGGGGCATGAAGGCTGCAGGTGCATGAAGGCTGCAGGTGCATGAAGGCTGCAGGCTCATGAAGGCTGCAGGTGCATGAAGGCTGCAGGTGCATGAAGGCTGCAGGCGCATGAAGGCTGCAGGCTCATGAAGGCTGCAGGTGCATGAAGGCTGCAGGCTCATGAAGGCTGCAGGCGCATGAAGGCTGCACGCTCATGAAGGCTGCAGGCGCATGAAGGCTGCAGGCTCATGAAGGCTGCAGGCGCATGAAGGCTGCAGGCTCATGAAGGCTGCAGGCTCATAAAGGCTGCAAGCGCATGAAGGCTGCAGGCTTATGAAGGCTGCAGGTGCATGAAGGCTGCAGGTGCATGAAGGCTGCAGGCGCATGAAGGCTGCAGGCGCATGAAGGCTGCAGGTTCATGAAGGCTGCAGGTGCATGAAGGCTGCAAGCGCATGAAGGCTGCAGGTGCATAAAGGCTGCAGGTGCATGAAGGCTGCAGGCTCATGAAGGCTGCAGGCGCATGAAGGCTGCAGGCTCATAAAGGCTGCAGGCGCATGAAGGCTGCCGGCTCATGAAGGCTGCAGGCGCATGAAGGCTGCAGGTGCATGAAGGCAGCAGGCGCATGAAGGCTGCAGACGGATGAAGGCTGCAGGCTCATGAAGGCTGCAGGCGCATGAAGGCTGCAGGTGCATGAAGGCTGCAGGCTCATGAAGGCTGCAGGCGCATGAAGGCTGCAGGTGCATGAAGGCTGCAGGCGCATGAAGGCTGCAGGCGCATGAAGGCTGCAGGCGCATGAAGGCTGCAGGCTCATGAAGGCTGCAGGCGCATGAAGGCTGCAGTCTCATGAAGGCTGCAGGCGCATGAAGGCTGCAGGCGCATGAAGGCTGCAGGCTCATGAAGGCTGCAGGCTCATGAAGGCTGCAGGCGCATGAAGGCTGCAGGCTCATGAAGGCTGCAGGCGCATGAAGGCTGCAGGCGCATGAAGCCTGCAGGCGCATGAAGGCTGCAGGTACATGAAGGCTGCAGGCGCATGAAGGCTGCAGGCGCATGAAGGCTGCAGTCTCATGAAGGCTGCAGGCACATGAAGGCTGCAGGCGCATGAAGGCTGCAGGCTCATGAAGGCTGCAGGCTCATGAAGGCTGCAGGCGCATGAAGGCTGCAGGCTCATGAAGGCTGCAGGCGCATGAAGGCTGCAGGCGCATGAAGGCTGCAGGCGCATGAAGGCTGCAGGCACATGAAGACTGCAGGCGCATGAAGGCTGCAGGTGCATGAAGGCTGCAGGCACATGAAGGCTGCAGGCGCATGAAGGCTGCAGGCGCATGAAGGCTGCAGGCGCATGAAGGCTGCAGGTACATGAAGGCTGCAGGCTCATGAAGGCTGCAGGTGCATGAAGGCTGCAGGCGCATGAAGGCTGCAGGCGCATGAAGGCTGCAGGCTCATGAAGGCTGCAGGTGCATGAAGGCTGCAGGCGCATGAAGGCTGCAGGCGCATGAAGGCTGCAGGCTCATGAAGGCTGCAGGTGCATGAAGGCTGCAGGCGCATGAAGGCTGCAGGCGCATGAAGGCTGCAGGTGCATGAAGGCTGCAGGTGCATGAAGGCTGCAGGCGCATGAAGGCTGCAGGCGCATGAAGGCTGCAGGCTCATGAAGGCTGCAGGTGCATGAAGGCTGCAGGCGCATGAAGGCTGCAGGTGCATGAAGGCTGCAGGCGCATGAAGGCTGCAGGCTCATGAAGGCTGCAGGTGCATGAAGGCTGCAGGCGCATGAAGGCTGCAGGCGCATGATTCCTGCAGGCTCATGAAGGCTGCAGGTGCATGAAGGCTGCAGGCGCATGAAGGCTGCAGGTGCATGAAGGCTGCAGGCTCATGAAGGCTGCAGGCTCATGAAGGCTGCAGGCGCATGAAGGCTGCAGGCTCATGAAGGCAGCAGGTGCATGAAGGCTGAAAGGTGCATGAAGGCTGCAGGCGCATGAAGGCAGCAGGCGCATGAAGGCTGCAGGCGCATGAAGGCTGCAGACTCATGAAGGCTACAGGTACATGAAGGCTGCATGCGCATGAAGGCTGCAGGCTCATGAAGGCTGCAGGCTCATGAAGGCTGTAGGCTCATGAAGGCTGCAAATGCATGAAGGCTGCAGGCGCATGAAGGCTGCAGGTGCATGAAGGCTGCAGGTGCATGAAGGCTGTAGGCTCATGAAGGCTGCAAATGCATGAAGGCTGCAGGCGCATGAAGGCTGCAGGCTCATGAAGGCTGCAAATGCATGAAGGCTGCAGGCGCATGAAGGCTGCAGGCTCATGAAGGCTGCAGGCTCATGAAGGCTGCAGGCGCATGAAGGCTGCAGGCGCATGAAGGCTGCAGGTGCATGAAGGCTGCAGGTGCATGAAGGCTGCAGGCGCATGAAGGCTGCAGGCGCATGAAGGCAGCAGGCGCATGAAGGCTGCAGGCGCATGAAGGCTGCAGACTCATGAAGGCTACAGGTACATGAAGGCTGCATGCGCATGAAGGCTGCAGGCTCATGAAGGCTGCAGGCTCATGAAGGCTGTAGGCTCATGAAGGCTGCAAATGCATGAAGGCTGCAGGCGCATGAAGGCTGCAGGTGCATGAAGGCTGCAGGTGCATGAAGGCTGTAGGCTCATGAAGGCTGCAAATGCATGAAGGCTGCAGGCGCATGAAGGCTGCAGGCTCATGAAGGCTGCAAATGCATGAAGGCTGCAGGCGCATGAAGGCTGCAGGCTCATGAAGGCTGCAGGCTCATGAAGGCTGCAGGCGCATGAAGGCTGCAGGCGCATGAAGGCTGCAGGTGCATGAAGGCTGCAGGTGCATGAAGGCTGCAGGCGCATGAAGGCTGCAGGCGCATGAAGGCTGCAGGCGCATGAAGGCTGCAGGCTCAAGAAGGCTGCAGGTGCATGAAGGCTGCAGGCGCATGAAGGCTGCAGGCGCATGAAGGCTGCAGGTTCATGAAGGCTGCAGGTGCATGAAGGCTGCAGGCGCATGAAGGCTGCAGGCGCATGAAGGCTGCAGGTGCATGAAGGCTGCAGGTGCATGAAGGCTGCAGGCTCATGAAGGCTGCAGGTACATGAAGGCTGCAGGTACATGAAGGCTGCAGGCGCATGAAGGCTGCAGGCGCATGAAGGCTGCAGACGCATGAAGGATGCCGGCGCATGAAGGCTGCAGGCTCATGAAGGCTGCAGGTGCATGAAGGCTGCAGGCGCATGAAGGCTGCAGGCGCATGAAGGCTGCAGGCGCATGAAGGCTGCAGGCTCATGAAGGCTGCAGGCGCATGAAGGCTGCAGTCTCATGAAGGCTGCAGGCGCATGAAGGCTGCAGGCGCATGAAGGCTGCAGGCTCATGAAGGCTGCAGGCTCATGAAGGCTGCAGGCGCATGAAGGCTGCAGGCTCATGAAGGCTGCAGGCGCATGAAGGCTGCAGGCGCATGAAGGCTGCAGGCGCATGAAGGCTGCAGGTACATGAAGGCTGCAGGCGCATGAAGGCTGCAGGCGCATGAAGGCTGCAGTCTCATGAAGGCTGCAGGCACATGAAGGCTGCAGGCGCATGAAGGCTGCAGGCTCATGAAGGCTGCAGGCTCATGAAG